TTTGTCATTTGGACCTTGCGCAAGCCTATAATTTGAATGTGTGACTCTAGAAGTGGTTGCTATGGCGATAAACCACTTTACTTAAATAGCATGTATTTTACTCAAAATTCAGAGGAATGGTAACAGTTTCTAGTAATCACACTCTGGTATTAACTTGCAGGATATGCCGAGAGCTCACAGGCTTTGCATCCATTATCACCAGATAAGTTCATCAGGTTGAAGTTACACCAGTGAGCAGTGAAATGTGTACATTCAGCACAGTCTCTTGTTACATAGCTTCCCTTGCACACACAGACCCTTTCATGATTAATAATATGAACTGAAGAAATCAGTTCAAGGGTGTTGAATTAGAAAAAGGCAAAACTGGAGCAGGGGAGCTTGTGGGGTCATCTTTCTCATTTCTCTATAAGGAGTCAGATCAGCTACTCTCCAGATGTCTCAAATGCTAAGAATCTGTCACAGATGAATAGTTGGAACTCTGCTAGAGTGGCCCTGGCATGATCTCCCTGACCACAACACACAGAACTGACATGTGGTTCCACAGTGCTAGATATGCCCCTTCTTCATGCCATGTTATAGTTTGTTTTTTCTTTTATTCTCTCCCTCTCTCTCTCTCTCTCCCTCCCTCCCTCCCTCTCTCTCTTTCTCCCTCCATCTCTCCCTCCCTCCCTCCCTTCCTCTCTCTCTCTCTGTGTTCTCATATGTGTGAGCGCATGTGTATATGCAGGTGCATTGGGGGGCCTGAAATTAAAATCAAAATGCTTTTCTTGGCCATGCTCAGCTCTCTTATTGAGCCCAATACTTGCCAATCCTGGCTAACTTAGCTAACCAGCATGCTCCAGGAATCCCCAGACCCTGCCTCCCAACTGCTGTGATTATGGGTGGCTTTTCAACTGTTGCAGGGCTCCTGGGGATCCAAACACTGGGGTCCTCCAACTAGTGCAGCAATCTCCCCCGCCCTATATAGTCTTTTCTATTTTTTTAGGCTGAAGAATTTCTAAAGAAATTCCTACCTGTAGTCATATTAGTAGCCAGTGGCAGAATGATTCCAATCCCTTCTATCTCCACAGGCTAGTATGGCTTCACCATGGTCTATGTAAGGATACAGGTTTCCTCCTGATTCCGCAGATGTTTTCCGATGGCAGCAGGTTCTTGGCTATTGCCTAAACATGCACTGTCCACAGTACACAGTCAGCAGTGATTTTCCGGTTCTCTCATGGGTTGACAAATAGATGGCGGGCAGTCTCATGATGGTCATCTGGGGGCTTTCCCTGGTACTAATAAGATCCCTCTGTCCTCTTTCTCCTGCTGTAGGCAAGCTTACAGGAATGCTTGTCCTTCTGTTTGCCCTTCACGACCTGTAAGATCTCAGAGCCTTAGCAATTTCACTTTTCATTTCTCTGTCCTATTACTTACAAAACTGTAAAATTGCATCAGTGACAACAAAGATTCCTGAGGGAATCCCAGTAGCCATGAGAGAAGAAAAGGTGAAGCCCAGACTTAGATGATATATAACCTAACCAAAGAAATCCCTGAAAAATTAAGATTGGTACAATTCTAGAAAAAAACCCTGGAGTTGGAATTTGCCTTAGTCTTTTCTATTCTAAGGAGATCTGGCTTGGTTCCCTGTGAAGGGAACCTGCCCCAACGGGCACAGCATGATGGTTCTGGCCCTGTGGCGTGGTTCCAGCAAGGGAACAATGGAGATACTCAGACTCTAGAAAATCCCTTAGGACTCTGCTTCCTAAACAGTTGCCCACTAACCTTGATGCAACTGCTGTGTGCAAAAAGGAGTGGCAAAAATGCAGAGGATCTCCTCCATCAACACGGGAGTGTCCACCAGTAAACGTTCCCATAAAAGTAGGTGTGTTTGCATTGGTGCTAGCAGGGAGTGAAGGAACAGACATCATGATTCCAAGCAAATTCTGAGACTTATTTAAAATATGACTGTCAGGACTGGAAAGACAGCTCATCAGCTAAGAGCCCTTGCTGCTCTTCACGGAACCTGAGTTATATTCCCAGCACCCATGTGTCCCACAGAGTGCTGTAACTCCAGTTGCAGGGCATCTGGTGCCCTCTCCCAGCTCCGTAAGTACACTCACATATGCAGCGTACACTTACACACATACACATAAATAAAAACAAATCCTTATCTTTACCTGTACCAACTTTAATATGCATGAGCGTAAGACTGACCAAGAAAACAGGCACCCTCTGCTGAGGGGGAGAGTGTGAATCTGTACAGCTGTGTCAGAATTGCACTTTTCAGTACCATTAGTAGTAGCAAAAGAGTGGAGACAAGTGGAATACTGCTGTGAAGGGACTGGCCAAATACCGATGGCCTATCCAAGCAGAGACTCACTGCCCACCGGAAGAAAGAACAAGCGAGCTGTATGAATTTAGACAGAGTGATCTGCAAGGTAGCCATCAGTTTGACAACAAGGTGTGAAGGGATGTTTGCACAGCACTACGGTTTGTGTGAAAGGGTGAAAGAAAGCTGGGGATGAGACATGCTAAGACATCGGAAGTTTTGACCTGCTCTCCATGGAAGTGACAATTGAAATTGAAATTCAGTCCAACAGTTTACTTGTTGTTACATGGAGAAGATGTACTTTGTAAATGGATAAACACTGGTTGTGTTTTCTGAGGCTGGGTTTATGTTAACTAGGAGGCAAGGAAGAGATTTTTATTAAACCTTGAGTATGCTCTATGTATTTTTTTAAAGATCACTAACATTGTAAATTAGCACATGTGGCTAAGGGGTATAGTTTTTTTTTTTTTTGGTGTTTTGGCTATAGTCACCAATGTTTCCTCCTGGTGACTATAGCCTGTGAGTCAAGTTCATTGAAAGTGGCAGTGAAGCCAGTTAGGTAATCAGCAGGTTTCTGTGGCTGTGAAGAGACACCATGACCACAACTTTTATAAAGGAAAGCATTTAATTGAGGTGACAGCTTAGAGCTTCAGAGGTTTAGTCCATTATCATCATGTTGGGACATGGCAGCAGACAGAACATGGTGCTGGAGAAGTAGCCGAGAGTCCTACATCTTGCTGGCAACAGGAAGTGGACTCAGTGTCACACTGAGTGAAGCTTGAGCAAAAGAGACCCCACAGCCCACCCCTACAGTGACACACTTCCTCTAACAAGACCACAGGTGCTCCCCAAGGCCATACCTTCTAATGGTGCCACTCTTTTTGGGAGCCATTTTTTTTTTCAAACCACTGCTGCCTGTAAAGGCTCTTCCTGCCAAATATGATGACCTGGGTTTGATCTCTGGAACTCAAATGGGAGAAGGAGAGAACTGTTTTCTTCAAGCTGTCCTCTGACCTTCACACATGCACCATGGCACATGGCACACAATACCTGCAATCAATCACTTAATCAAACAGCCAATAAGTAAATAAATGTAAATTAAGTAAAAGACACAAAAGAGGAACACTGAAGAATGGAAACATTGAACCAGACATGAATATACATGTAAAATCCAATGACTGAACCTCTGCTCCTATTTCACAGAATGCTAGTTGTAGTGGAAACATTGTAAAGCATTTCCTTAACTACTCAGTATCCAAGTTGGAATGTCCAATGGGACCTGGGTTGCATTTGGCTTCACCTTTAGTTAGTATTTGTGTATAAAGTTAGTTAAATTTTATCAATTGAAGATTTCAAATGGGTTCCATGTGTCAGGAAAGCAAGTGGTCCCCAGACAGACACCAGAATGTTCAGGGTGGTGTTTGTGCCCTGTTAATGAATGTGAGTCTTAACAAGACGGCAGGTGCTCCTTTAGCAATGGTAAAGATTCTTCAATTTTTCTGTTTCTGCAAAGAATTCAGTGGCGGCAACTTAAATATTTTGAGAAGAGTAGAGGAAACAACCTTTTCCATTTCAAACTTTATACAATTTTTTCAAGGTACAGGACAGGCTTAGAGTGTTATCTGCTCAAGAGTCACTCCTATAGAGTCAGGCCTGAGGGTTGTTCTGAGGAAGCCTACTGCAGGGATGTCTACAATCAACACCCGCCACACACCAGCACATAGATGCCTGAAGTTTTGCTGCAGCCATAAGAATGTCTATTCATTGGACAAATGTATAAGTACAAATTTTCATATCCTAAAGTCAGGAAGATAAGGAAACACCCGAGAAATTTGTCTAGGGCCTCTTTGAAAGCAGTGCTCAGCTATCTAAAATGTTGCATGCCGTTCTGTGTGGTGAAAGCTTGTTCTGACCTGCTTTGCAGGTCTCCTGGGACAGTCCCTGTGCTTTAGAACTCTCTGCTCAGCTTCACTTAATTAAAGTGATCACTCTTTCAATGAACCTAAGGTCAAAGTGAACCCTGTCTCCCTGTGACTGCAGCATCTAGGCTACTGCTTCCCGTCCTGCAGAGTGGGATGACCCGAGAGCACAAGGTCACCTCTGACTGGTGCTTTCCTGGTTCAAACCCCATGCAGTTTTCTCTGCCACCTCCTCAATTCATTCCCACCAGCACTCCTTGAAGTGAACATTCAAATGTTGTTTTATCCCATTAACTAGTGAGGAGTTGAGACGCAAATGTACCAATGGCCTGCTTGACTGGTAAAAGCGGCTTGTCCCTGGAATGAATGCAGGAAAGGGTTAATAGTGAGAGCAGGCCGAGTGCAGCAACTTTGTGTCACCTTAGGAAGAGTATCTGGAAGCCTGAAGAATGCAGTGTGCTGGTGCATTTGTGTCCAGGTGGGCATCCCTGTGCAGACCTTCAGGGCTCTTTAGTGAATTTCCCAGGGCAGAGCTTTAAACAACATTTTGATTTCATCACAAGCTCTAAATGCCTCCGTTCTCTTGAAGGAGGTAAAAGAGCCTTTGGGGCATGTAGGGATAATTTTACAGACTGACCAGTATTACCCAAACTGGAGCATGCCCCTGCCTCACACACTCATGGAATGTTATTGTCTCCTGCTGTCTTCGATTACTATACATACTTTTTTTACACCTGAAAATTAATTTAGGCCTTTTCTTTCATTAATAGCCCACCGTTGCTGCCAAGAAGCCAGATGCAGATGGCGTTGACATGAGCTGTTCCAACTCAACATCCACCAAACCCCTCTCTGCTGAACTCAAAGCAGAACCCGAGAAAAGCTCCGGGACAATGAACCAGGCAGCGACGGTGGCTAAGGGCACCTTAAAAGCCTCTGCCTTGTTGCGAGGCAAGAAAAAGCTCTAAGGCTCTGTCCAGTGCTGCGCAGTGCAAGAACAGACCACTCCTCCAGCACTGAAGGGCGGGGACAGGAGGGGGACAGCATGGTACGGAGCTTTTAGTCTTTGGTGAGTCCTGCATGGGTTACACCAGTTTAGAATTGAAGCTAGTTACCAAAGCAGCATACATAACCTGCACGGGACACGAAAGGACAGCGTGGGCATGCTTGGGGCAAGCTGCTGTGCTCATCAGCTCCAGGTGTCCTGGGGCTAAGGGACAAGTGCTCTCAGTGCAAGCCTGGGGCCATACTTGCTCAGTTCTACTCAAATTCTTATATTTAGGCACAGTTATTTATAAGGGAAAACAAGAGGCCAAATGCAGTGGAGGTTCTAAGTGATTATGTGCACTTAGCACTAGGAGACTTTGCTAGATGACTACTAATAAAATGGCCACAGGCCTTGTGGCAGAAGCGATGCAGTCCCTTACGTGTCCTTGTTGTTCTAGTTGCTATAGATTATTTAAGACAAGTTATTTTAAACATAGAAAAGTAGGACAGTTTGTAATTGCTTGCATTGGCTTGCTACTATACTTCCATCATATTGATTAAATCAATAAGCCCAGATGTCTTCATGCATGTCATTTTATATTAAGAAGAGGTGACTTTAGCAAGTCCTCTGAATGCTCCCCAGACAGCTAGTGCTGGCCTGTTGTCTCTGGGGAAAGACTGAGAAGGGACAGGAAATGCGTCATGAGCTGGTGTTGGAGGTTCTTTTTCCTCCAAGGTTAACAGCTCTGCTACTGCACCTTTAGTAGGTAAGCTTCCCAAAAAAAAATTTAAAAAGCAATTTGAATTTGTTTATCTTTATAAAGTAATAATCTTGTTTCATTCCAAACCCCACAGGATTGTCAGATTGTCTCCAAAAGAGCCACACCCATAAACTGATCCAGAAGCTATAAGAGGTGTGTGCACCTCCTGTTCACAAGGTACCACAGTGGTCAGTCAGGTCAGAGATCACACTGCCATGTTATCCTTTGTCTTAGTTCCTTTTCTATTGCTGTGGAAGATACCACAACTAAGGCAACTCATAGAAGAAAGTATATTTGAAGCTTGTGGCTTTGGAGGGTTACAGTAAAGGCATGGTGGCAAGAATGACTGAGAGCTATATCTTGATCTACAAGTAGGAGATAGAGAAAGAACACTGGGAAAGGAGGCTCTAGTCTTTTGAAACATGGAAGTCTGTCCCCATTGACACACCTCCTCCAACAAGGCCATGCCTCCTAACCCTTCTCAATCAGGTCCACCAACAGGGACCAACTATTCAAATTTGAGCCTGTGGAGGCCCTTCTCATTCAAGTCACCATGCCCCGGGACTCTGCATTCTTAGTGCATTCACACTTCCCATGGGGAAACTACCATTAAAACATTCAGTGTAAATTAGATTTTATTTAAAATTGAAGTTGATGGCTGGGGAAATAACTCATTTGGCAAGGTTCTTGTGACACAAACATGGAGACCTGAGTTCAGATTCACTGAAGCTGCCTCTAAAACAAAACAAAGAACAGGCACAGGGACACAAGTCTGTCAGCCAGGTGCTGGAGAGATGAAAACCTGGGGCTCACTGGCCAGCCACTCTGGCTAAAGTGGTGAGTTCCAGGTTCACTGAGGGGTTTTGTCTCACAAAGAAGTGAGTGCTAGCAGGATAGCTCAGTTGGCAAGGTGTTGTCACCCAAATTGATGACATTATTTCAACAGTCCGCATGGTAGACTGTTGATCCCCTCACCAGTGTGGTGTGTATGCCCCCATATGTGCACACACACACACACACACACACACACACACAATTAATTAATTTTAAAAAGTCAAACGGTGGCCTGGCATGGTGGTGCATGCCTTTAATCCCAGCACTCAGGAGGCAGAGACAGGCAGATCTGTGAGTTTGAGGCCAGCCTGGTCTACAAAGTGAGTTACAGGACAGCCAGGGCTACACAGAGAGAGACCCTGTCTCATGAGAACAAATAAATAAAAACAGAAAATAAAAACAAAACCAACAAACATAATAAAGTGGAAAACAATTGAAAAATACACCCAGTGTCATTCTTGGGTCTATTCATGCACTCATGTACATGTGTACCAGCACACATGTGCATATATGCACATTCATGACCACATGCACCACACACCAGATCAGACACAGAAAAAAAGAAAAGAAAAAACTACTTTGGGAGTTGACTCAGCTTCTTCAAGTGCTTTGCTTTGGGGGTTCTACAGGAGCAGTCCTACAGGAGCGCATGTACTGTCTCCTGAGCTTACAGCCTTGAGGAACAGACTTTGTCCACTGGTGGAGGACCCTGGAGGGGAGGGCTCTTCCCAGAGAATTCTCTAGGAAGTGGGTGGCAATGCTGCACACCATCCCCTGGTGGGAAGAGCTGGGACCCTGGGGTCTCTGGAGGGCCAGCTGCAGGTCTCCCTTTAGAAAAGAGCAACTTTGATTCTGCCTGGTTGTTTGTGTCTTTTCCTGTCACAGATGAGGATGGTGTCCTTCCTGTTGTAGCACACATTCTGTTAGCCTCCAACATGCCTCCCTCTGACTCGCATGCAGTATTAAGATAGAGTTTAGCTCTCTCTTTGGAGAGAGTGTCTGCATCTATTTATCTGTTTGCATGGAAGCCATGTAGAACAGATGGTCTCTGATCTTAGTCGCCAGCTCATGGACCTGTCCCATGTCTGAGCTCCATGGCCTTTCTGTCTGCATTTGCCTCCACAGCTGTGGAAAAGCAGTTCTTCATGTCCTACGGGCTTTCTGAGACCAGCAGGCCACCTCTCAGGACCAATATCAACCTGTCTGATACTTCCTGGGCCCCATGGCATGGAGAACCATGCCATTTGGCTGTCACCTGGAGGGACACCCTTTGCTTAGAACAGAACTGAACAAGTGCGATTTCCAAGAGAGCAGATACTGACCAACGGAGCCCACTTGAATGGCATGTAAGGGATGAAGACTAGTAGAGAGGAATGCAGGCATGGAGATGGGGACAAGCAGTTGACAATGGAAGCTGCTGTCAGAGAAGAGGCCTTAGGAAAGGAAAGAGAGGGACGCAAGGGAAAGCCTGTGGTCTCTAAAACCAGATGCCAGCACATGACTGTGTCAAGCCCAGAAGCAGATGTCAGAGGTAGGGACAGTGTGTCCTCTGGGCCAAGTGACATCAGATGGGCCCCTCCACAGCCTGTTCATAAGCAAAACCAGACAGGCCTAAGAGACAAAAAGCAGGCAAACAGAAGCTGAGAGAAACCTGGGTTTTAAGAGCTTGTCACAAAATGGGCCTAGGTTTCTTACTAGAAATGTTGGGAGGGGGCAGCAGATTGAAAAAAAAAACACTATGTGCTTATCATAGAAATACTTTGTTTAAATAATTCTATTTGACTCTAAAATGTAAGTTCCAGGCTGAGCAGACCAAAGCCAGTCAGTCTTGAAAATGAAGCTTTTTAAATTCTGGCCCTGCTGCTGGAACAGACAATAAAGGCTTTGTTCAAACAGGTATTCCCAGCAGGAAGCCTGGCTTTGAAATTGGCCAGAGAAGTTGTGTCTTATAAAGGCTGCAATTGGCTGGAGGCCAAGAAGCTGTGGCCTCTGGGAAATGACCCTGGGCTGGTGCTGTGGTTTGAATATGAAATATTCCACAAGTGACAAGTGTTTGAACCTTCAGTCCTCAGCTGGTGGTGCTGTTTGTTGTAGCACCTTTAGGGGGTTCTGTAGCCTTGCTGGAAGAAGTGAATCACTTGGGGCAGGGTGTCTAGCCTGCCTCCCTTCCCTGCCATGCCCCTTCCCTTGCTCTGTGGTACGACTTTTCTTGAGCTGCAAGCCAGAAGCCAGAACAAACCTCCTCTCCCTTTCTTATGAGGTTATTTTGTCATAGCAAGAAGGAAAGTCACTAAGCAGTTGGATGTCCTCTACCTGCCCTTCCAAAATGTCCTCCTTGCTTTGCCATATCCGCTGACCTTCAGGGACAGCAGTGTTGGGCTCCGCTGGCCCCTGAATTGCTTGCGATTCTCTCAGTGGAGGTGTCAATAGGTAGAGGGTGGTTGGAGATCCACACATTGGACCTTTCCTAACCCTGCCTGGGTCCCTCCTGTGGGGCTTTGTCTGCATCTCCTTTGATGTCCCAGGCCCCTCAGCACCCTCTTTCCGGCATGCTGTTGGTGGGTGCCTTGAGGGCAAGGCCAGTGCCATGAACTGGAAACTGAAACTCACTCCATCCCTTCACACACCAACTGTTTTTCCAGAAGTCTCCTTCCCATTCTAGTGTACTTGCTTGTGCCTTCTGTGACTCAATGCGACCCCTACACTCTGCCCTTGCTCACCCCTCAGTTTTGACTTAGGACAGCTTGTCTCTGGTTGTCAGACTCCTACCAAATTGCAGGAAAGTGCGAAACACAAAGCCCAAATGAGTTCTTCCTGAAGACACAATGTACCTGGGTGGCCACAGCGGCTGGAGGGACACAGGGGTGCTCTTGATGGAGTTGGAGCCAGGCCAGTGAATCTGAGGTCTAAAATGGCCTAGACGCTAGTTTCTGTATGTGCACATATATACTTGTACTCACACAAATGCGCGCACACACACACAGAGAAAGAGAGAGAGAGAGAGAGAGAGAGAGAGAGAGAGAGAGAGAGAGAGAGAGAGAGAGAGAGAGAGAGAGAGAGAGAGAGAGAGGAGAGAGAGCACCACCCCCCATGGATGGGCACTGCCTACAGAGAGACTCCAGGAGACCCGAAGGGAGATGGAAGCCTGGGCTGGACTTCACCACCTCTCCCTTTCTCCGAGCACTAAAATCCCCTTACAAAAGCCTTTTAAACTAAAACACCACCATTCAAAGGCCTCACATAATTCAGCTTTCCTCTTCAGAATCATATTTTTCCTGAGCGAGCCAGTTTTGAACTGATTTTGATTTCCGTGCCGCGTATTGTTACCACTTAATTCTCGTTGGTGAGCCAATTTTCTTTGCCTTTGTTCTTCAAAGGAAAGCCACATTGAGTGGCTGTCTTGCATTTGTGTGTGACTTGCTATGCCAGTTCTCCACATTTCCATAAGTTACCCAGTGCAGCCCTCTGGGGGAGCAGGCAAGGTGGGTGCTCCCACCTCTGCCTGATGGCCAGCCTCACTCTGAACAGCAGCACAAAGCAGAAAGTAGGATACCAGGAAGATGAATAGTGCCATTGTCCAGCCTCCTTTCCTGGCACTGTGCTACCCAGAGCTGTACCAAACATATAAGCTAGACCCAGGGGCAAAGGGTGAAATCCTCAGAAGTCCTCCTCCCCCAAACACAGTGGGTTCTGTCCTGGCCCTGAGGGTGGGCCTCAGGGGCAACCCAACTGTCGGTATGGACATCTCCCCTTGTGATGGTTAACCATGCTAACTTGGGGGAGGTGGCACAGTGGTTAAGGGCCCACAGTTAAGGTGGGTCTTCATACCTCT